CCCCAAAACCCCAAAACCCCAAAACCCCAAAACCCCTTTAAAATATTTTAAAATTGAATTTCAAATTATTTTAAATTCTTAAAATTTAAGTCAAAATGGAAAGTTATTTGAAATTCTTAGAGGAGAAAGTCAACAAAATGATGTCAGAAATGGCAAATGTTCAAGTCATGAAGAAAGAATTCAAGGAACTTAAGGAAGAGCATGGCTGTATCAAATAACCTCCTATTCGGAGCCAATAATTCCTTCCTAATGGTAACTGAGATGGACAAGCTTGGAGGTGCTGCTAAGACTACAGACTTAAGCAGCAACAACCACTTTAATGTCGACAAACAGAGCCTTATGTATAGAATAGATAGGCTAGAGCGAAGTCAAACAAAAGCAACTGATATTAGTACTGAGGTCGAAAAAGTTATTAACAATTTTGATAAGAATATTAAAACTAAGTCTAAGAAGTCTCAACGTACTGAGAAAAGTGATAAAAATGGTAGAAGTGGAAAGAGATATTCAGGACTTTCAACTATTACCGCTTCCCAAGGTAACAATTTCCAGGCATCCCAAACTGTCACTTTTGAGGACCCTAAAAGAGAGGTTAAGTATTTAAGAAAAATACTTAAATAAACAAGGCAACGAGATTGGCAAGGATATTGCCAAAATAGAACTAATTATTGAGAAGATAAGTGAGGAACTCCAGACAACTTATAAGAACAACAAATCTATATCCGAAAGAATATCCAAATTAGAAAAGGAATTTGTGAAAGAATCTGTTCCTAAATTTGGAACTTCCCAAACTTGCAGAGAGGATAAAGAGAATATTCCCACTAACTTGGCAGATGAAGCTAGCAAGCACACTTATAACCATAGAAGAGAGGTTTCAAATGTTGATAGAGCAGATCTTTTAATCATGTGTGACAAGATAAAGAATGACTTCCAGAAATCTCTAAGAGATTCTATAAACTCGCATCAGTTTCAGACAATCAAAAGCAAGCCTCAAAGTCCGTCTGTGACACAAAGAGATAATAAGAAAGAGCTCAGGAACAGCATTGAGAAGTATAAATCAGCTTATGGGTTAGAGGTAGTTGACACTTCTTCTCCAATGAGAAGGATCAGGTATTTTAGCACTAAGCCAAGTGCTAGAAGAGGCCCAATAAACAGCGACTGTAGCTCTCTTGGTAAAACACTTGACCCTCGTCCTAGTATTAAGAAGATCCATGTACAAAAGAGTAGAGGGAGTAATATTAGGATGAAACAGGAGAATTTACGCAAGAAGAAGAGCACTCTTGCTTCATTTTCTCCATTTTCCACTATAAAGTCTCGTTATAAAGAAATTGAGAGCCATAAAAAGACTAAGAACAATGTATCAAAGTTGGATAAGATCTACAAGGAGCTTGAGTGCATGGAGAATGATTATAACCTTTAGAGTTTTCTAATAAATAAATTGAATGTCAACCGATGTTTACTCAGTAGGGGTTTTGGGGTTTTGGGGTTTTGGGGTTTTGGGG